AATATATTTATAGATGGGGTTGTAAGAGAAGTAAATGCGAGGGTCTTGGCAAGAGGCGTGGAGTTAAAAGATAAAGAATCACACATAAAGTGGGAGTTGTCACAGTTGCTCTTTGCTGATGACACTGTGCTCTTGGGAGATTCTGAAGAGAAGCTGCAGAGGTTGGTGGATGAATTTGGTAGGGTGTGCAAAAGAAGAAAAATAAAGTGAATACAGGAAAGAGTAAGGTAATGAGGATAACAAAAAGATTAGGTGATGAAAGATTGGATATCAGATTGGAGATAGAGAGTATGGAGGAGGTGAATGTATGTATTCAGATATTTGGGAGTGGACGTGTCAGCAGATGGGTCTATGAAAGATGAGGTGAATCATAGAATTGATGAGGGGAAAAGGGTGAGTGGTGCACTTAGGAGTCTGTGGAGACAAAGAACTTTGTCCTTGGAGGCAAAGAGGGGAATGTATGAGAGTATAGTTTTACCAACGCTCTTATATGGGTGTGAAGCATGGGTGATGAATGTTGCAGCGAGGAGAAGGCTGGAGGCAGTGGAGATGTCATGTCTGAGGGCAATGTGTGGTGTGAATATAATGCAGAGAATTCGTAGTTTGGAAGTTAGGAGGGGGTGCGGGATTACAAAAACTGTTGTCCAGAGGGCTGAGGAAGGGTTGTTGAGGTGGTTCGGACATGTAGAGAGAATGGAGCGAAACAGAGTGACTTCAAGAGTGTATCAGTCTGTAGTGGAAGGAAGGCGGGGTAGGGGTCAGCCTAGGAAAGGTTGGAGGGAGGGGGTAAAGGAGGTTTTGTGTGCGAGGGGCTTGGACTTCCGGCAGGTATGCGTGAGTGTGTTTGATAGGAGTGAATGGAGACAAATGGTTTTTAATACTTGACGTGCTGTTGGAGTGTGAGCAAAGCAACATTTATGAAGGGGTTCAGGGAAACCGGCAGGCCGGACTTGAGTCCTGGAGATGGGAAGTACAGTGCCTGCACTCTGAAGAAGGGGTGTTAATGTTGCAGTTTAAAAACTGTAGTGTAAAGCACCCTTCTGGCAAGACAGCAATGGAGTGAATGATGGTGAAAGTTTTTCTTTTTCGGGCCAACCTGCCTTGGTGGGAACAGACCCCAACTTATGCCTAGAACAGATTAACTTGGTGGCACTCGATGTATGCACAAGGCTTATTCCTCTAAGAAAAAGGAGGAGTAGATGTAAAATAGAAAGAGACAGGCGCTCCCTTTACAGGCGACGGAAAAGAATAACAGAGCGGCTAAAAGAGGTCAATATATCTGAAATGCGTAGGGAGACACTGGTCAGAGAAATAGCAAACATCGAACTTAAGCTAAAGGAATCTTATAGGAGTCAGGAATCGCGGGAAGAACTAAAAGCCATAAATGAAATAGAAAGAAACCCAAAGTATTTCTTCTCCTATGCCAAATCAAAGTCGAGAACAACGTCCAGTATTGAGCCCTTACTTAAACAAGATGGGTCCTACACAGATGACAGCAAGGAAATGAGTGAGCTACTCAAGTCCCAATATGACTCAGTTTTTAGCAAGCTGCTAACCAGACTGAGAGTCGAAGATCAAAATGAATTTTTTATGAGAGCCACAGAATTTGGTTAACACAAGCCTATCTGATGTTATCCTGATGCCAAATGACTTCGAACAGGTGATAAATGACATGACTCACGAAATCGTAATGACATGATTGCGACGGGCTGGAGTTTTGAGACTCTCTGACCGCGGGTTCAATCCCGGCCGGGGTATAGTTTGATAAATGACATGCCCATGCACTCTGCCCCAGGGCCAGACTCATGGAACTCCGTGTTCATCAAGAACTGCAAGAAGCCCCTATCACGAGCCTTTACCATCCTATGGAGAGGGAGCATGGACACGGGGGTCGTCCCACAGTTACTAAAAACAACAGACATAGCCCCACTCCACAAAGGGGACAGTAAAGCAACAGCAAAGAACTACAGACCGATAGCACTAACATCCCGTATCATAAAAATCTTTGAAAGGGTCCTAAGAAGCAAGATCACCACCCATCTAGAAACCCATCAGTTACACAATGCAGGGCAACATGGGTTTAGAACAGGTCGCTCCTGTCTGTCTCAACTATTGGATCACTACGACAAGGTCCTAGATGCACTAGAAGACAAAAAGAATGCAGATGTAATATATACAGACTTTGCAAAAGCCTTCGACAAGTGTGACCATGGCGTAATAGTGCACAAAATGCGTGCTAAAGGAATAACAGGAAAAGTCGGTCGATGGATCTATAATTTCCTCACTAACAGAACACAGAGAGTAGTAGTCAACAGAGTAAAGTCCGAGGCAGCTACGGTGAAAAGCTCTGTTCCACAAGGCACAGTACTCGCTCCCATCTTGTTCCTCATCCTCATATCTGACATAGACAAGGATGTCAGCCACAGCACCGTGTCTTCCTTTGCAGATGACACCCGAATCTGCATGACAGTGTCTTCCATTGCAGACACTGCAAGGCTCCAGGCGTACATCAACCAAATCTTTCAGTGGGCTGCAGAAAACAATATGATGTTCAACGATGAAAAATTTCAATTACTCAGATATGGTAAACACGAGGAAATTAAATCTTCATTCTGGCCACAAAATAGAGCGAAACACCAACGTCAATGACCTGGGAGTGATCATGTTGGAGGATCTCACCTTCAAGAACCATAACGTCGTATCAATTGCATCTTCTAGGAAAATGACAGGATGGATAATGAGAACCTTCAAAACTAGGGAAGCCAAGCCCATGATGACACTCTTCAGGTCACTTGTTCTATCTAGGCTGGAATATTGCTGCACACTAACAGCACCTGTCAAGGCAGGTGAAATTGCTGACCTAGAAAATGTACAGAGAACCTTCACGGCACGCATAACGGAGATAAAACACCTCAATTACTGGGAGTGCTTGAGGTTCCTGAACCTGTATTCCCTGGAATGCAGACGGGAGAGATACATGATTATATACACCTGGAAAATCCTAGAGGGACTAGTACCGAACTTGCACACGAAAATCACTCACTACGAAAGCAAAAGACTTGGCAGACGATGCAACATCCCCCAATGAAAAGCAGGGGTGTCACTAGCACGTTAAGAGACCATACAATAAGTGTCAGGGGCCCGAGACTGTTCAACTGCCTCCCAGCATACATAAGGGGGATTACCAACAGACCCCTGGCAGTCTTCAAGCTGGCACTGGACAAGCACCTAAAGTCGGTTCCTGATCAGCCGGGCTGTGGCTCGTACGTTGGTTTGCATGCAGCCAGCAGTAACAGCCTGGTTGATCAGGACTCTGATCCACCAGGAGGCCTGGTCACAGACCGGGCCGCGGGGGCATTGACCCCCGGAACTCTCTCCAGGTAAACTCCAGGAGAAGGGGTTACTAGCCCCTTGCTCCCGGCATTTTACTCACCTCTTACAACATTAAGAGCGATATGTGGCATGAATATCATGCAGGGAATTCAGAACCCTGAAATTAAAAGGTGATGTAGGGTCACCAATGGTATAATTCAGAGCTGAGGAGATGCTGTTGAAGTGATTGAGGCAAGTAAAAAGGATGAAGAGGATTTGGATAATGAAGAGGCTGTATAAATTTGGGGTGGAAGGTAAGAGTTGCCCCAGGAATGATTGGATAGAGGCTCTGAGTTTGAGGGATTTGAGCACCAGGCAGGTTTGTATGAGCATGTTAGATAGGATTACCGGCGACAGGAGATTTTTTAACAGACATACTGTTGTAGTGTAAGCAAGGTAAATTTTATGAAGGGATTCAAGGAAACCGGTTAGCCAGACTTGAGTTCTGGAGGTGGGACAGGCATTATCTGTACTTTGAAGGAAGGGTGGAAATGTTGCAAACAAAGGATAACCTGAATATTAATGGTAGCACACTTGTGGAAATAAAGCAATTGAATGAATGATCTCAGGAAATAGCACTGAAGTAAAAAAAATTGAGACTTTTCTGAGTTGCATTAATATGGATCTTAGGGTTGCCTGATACCCGAGGTTATAATGACCAAAAATGGTTATAAGGCTTGTTCTTTTACATTTTTTGTTTATCCTGAAGATTAAACTTTATATGATGTCTTTATGCACACATATGATTCAGTAGCTTTATTATTATCTTCAAATCCTATCATTTTAGTTTATTTTTGTGACAATTAAAATATGGATAAACATTTTTCTAGTAAAATTTACAAAATTTTTTGACACTTCATGTGAAGTTGGTCAGTAACCAAACAGATGTGAAAGTGTGTGTATGCTCTACATTAATCTGAATAGAGGATGATGTATACAGTACATCATATGATGAAGTGTTGCTAATATACCTGTACAGTAATACGTGAAAATTAACAATCTTAGCCTAAGTAAAACCTATTTTTTATAAAAGCAACAAATGAGTTCCAAGTATTCTGCAAAAATCTTATTATGATTAGAAAATTTTAATTTTATAGCAAATAGTTAAATGAAAATATCATATATGGATGTGCAATATTATATGGACAATGAATTTACTACATAAGAAATACAAGTAAGATTTTTAAAAATAATTTTGCACAAAAAGATAAAGAAGATGTGTATAAGCAAAGTACAGAAATTTAAAAAGGAACAATATACTGTAAATGCTTGGAGGACATTGTAAGCCTTCAAACTGCTGTTAGTGGAATACAAGAAGGCACTAAATATATAAATTACATGAAAAAATCATTAAATTTAGATGTATGTAGTACAAATAAATTGCTATTTAAGTAAAAACTTAACTAGATGGAAAGCTGAACTAGATGACAACTAACTTTTAGAACTCAAATTATTTGTCACAAAATTTTGAAGTACATCTAGCTTAAAAATACTGTATTAATATTATTTTGCTAAGCATGTGTAAAAATATCTAGAGTATTACAACTTTTGAGCATGGAACAAAGATAGTATAATATGATTTATTTCCTTGCCAGTCTAATAATACAGTACTGCTACTAACAACTTACCGTGATGTAATGTGGCGGTCGTGTGGGCTGTGTTAGGGGACCAGAATGAGGTGTGGAAGGCGTGGAAGGGGGTGTAGCGCTGAGAGGGGACCCAAGTACTGTGGGAGGTGAGGCAGACAGTTAGGGTTAGTAAGGTGAGAAAGTGGAGAACCTAAACCACACTTTTGGAAGCATAAACTAAGCACTTTTGAGTAGTCTGTCAAATTCAACCTTTGGTTAGGCTAAATTCATTATTTTTAAATCATTAATAATAAATAGGTTCACAAAAGCATAAATATTGAATTTAAATACATATGGACAAAGCATACTGAATACATATAACAAATTAACATAAAATAAAATTTACACAGTATTAGAAAATATTTGTTTTAGGTGTCGCTATGTTAATAAATCTTGCAACTTTACAAAACGGACATGCATTCTTAGTAGTGATAGTAATGTATATGTAGTAAAGTATATGTAGGTGTGTATATGCAATGAAATATTGTGTCAAATTTAACTGGTAAGTTATTATTCTTAAGACAATCCTAACTATAGGTATAAAATGTCCTACATAAAATAACATATACTAAGCAAAAATTGCAATTAATAAACAATAACTTACAAAACAATAAAGTGCAATTATATATGCCTAGTAGGCAGTGTGAGGATGCAGGGAAGACTAACATCATGCATTATTATTTGAAATGCAAGTTAGTTTAACTGTTCAGCACACACGAGCAGGATGATGACAGGGAAAACACTGGTCGTGCAGGCAGGAGACAACCAGTACCTCCCAGGTCTGTTGTGCAGAGTGCATCAGCTGAGGATCCTTGAAAAGGAAGTGGCTTGGGGTGAACAGTTGCACCAGGAACCAGAGGCACAAAACTCTTGGGACCCATATGGATACCAGGACTCGAATCTGCAATCTTTGATGGGCTTGGGTGATCTGACTCTGCTTCACTGTCTGAATATGGGTCACCAGAGATGGGGCGAAATTGGGCCTGCTTCTTGGGCACAAATTCAGGAATCATCTTGCCCATATACTGTTGATACTCACGGTCGGTTTCAGAGATGTCAGACTGCAGTGATGGTTGAGGAGAAACGTGATCTGTTCTAGGAGTCTGGGTAGAACTGCCTTTTCTTGATGCAGCATCTTCAATTAATATAGCTGGTGCATTCTGAGGGCCAGTAGTTTCCAGATGAGGTACATGACCATTGGTCTTAGCAATATCTTTGCCAGTTTTAGCAAAAGCATCAGTTTTTTCGTGAATGACAGGAATAGGGATGTCATTACTATGATCTCCATTTAGTTGTTTTGTCTTATCCACCTTCTTTGCTTCTCCGGGTAGGATTACACCAAATTCATAGCCAAAGTCATATTTGAAGTAGATAAGACCTGTCTCTGGGTCAATATGTTTCGTGCCTAAAGGAAAAAGGTGAAGACATTGCTTTAACCTTTAAACTTCAAATCTGAAATGTAGCCCAATTTGTGTAACATAAAAAGCATCAACAGAATGAAATCTAGAGTAAAACTGTTTTGTTTTGTACTGTATTTAAATTCTGATGAGAAGTTTAGCAACTCCAAGATATATCAGAATGAAGTGTATTTAAAACAATAAAATGATTATTATCCATGGATAAAAAGAGGGGTGTTAATGTTGCAGTTTAAAAACTGTAGTGTAAAGCACCCTTCTGGCAAGACAGTGATGGAGTGAATGATCGTGAAAGTTTTTCTTTTTCGGGCCACCCTGCCTTGGTGGGAATTGGCCAGTGTGATAATAAAAATAAAAATAATAAAATATAAGGTACCTTTCATCACTTATTCTGCACATATAAATGATGGCTTTTAAACTTGACTGACCTTTCTCCTATACATGAAACTTCTACTAATCAAATGCTTTACAAATGTCACTTGATATACGTATTACCCTGGACAAAAAAATCGTTACACAAATACAATAAAGTGTAAGAACAGGTGAGAAGCACATGTATTAAACAGGAAAAACTTGGAACATTTGTAGCTAACCATAAAAAACTTTCCATAACATGTTCCAGACTTAGTCCTAAGAATAGCCACTTTAACCCCTTGACTGTCACAACCCCAAATCCTGAGGTGTCTCCTGGTGTCGCAAAATTAAAAAAAAAAAAAAAAAAAAAAAAAATTCTTATGAAATGATAGAATCTTTTCCCAATTGTAATGACACCAAAAGAACGAAATTTGATGGAAAACTGACGGAATTACGCTCTCGCGAAATTAGCAACCTCGGCGATATTTACGAGTCGGCGATTTCGCCCACTTTGAGCCCTATTTTTGGCTAATTCCACTGTTCCAGTCGACCAAACTTATAGTTATTTCTTTAGAACTCCATTTTTTTCTATCGACTGAGTACAACAAACTGCTCATTTACCAATTTCAACTACCCAATAACATGGTCAGAAATTTGCAATTTGGCCAATTTCACAAAAATTAAAAAATATGACAATTTCAAAATAGGGTCCAGAATGAACAATGCAGACATTCCTGGCTCTAAAATAACATTTTCTTTGTTCATCAGTCACATCTCCAGGTCCCTCTGATATTACTCTTGCTTTCTATTTTGAATTTTTATTCAAACAAAAAATAGAAGATTTACTGTTATGCAGATTACTGCAATATTGTAATAATTGTATAAATAATGTCAACCCATTCATGACTGCATATCAGAATGGCTACTTGGACTAGACATCATTTGTTTACTTTTGAACATCAGCAAAAATCAAACATTTTCCCTACTTTGAGCTCCAGTTCAAGGTTCTTTTCATAGTAAAACCAATCAAAATCACATTTAGAATATGATATGTTTTCCATTCTATCAAATGAGACCAAGAAGACGAAAATACAACCATAAATGCTATATGAAAATAGACCACAAAGTCGGCATTTTAATTAAAAAAAAAAAAAAAGGTCGGAGTTTTTTTTTCTCATTATGCACTGCGTGCTGCAGGATTTTTTTTATATGGTGCACACTGACCACACAGACCCATTCTCACATGTGGGCCTACCAGCTTTCTCCTGCTTAATTTGAAGCCGCTAGAATTTATGAGTATATATACGTCAAAAATGGTGGCACGTAAGATGTATATATACAACCAAAACAGTCAAAGGGTTAAAAGGATAACTTTGAAACAGCCCACATTTCAAATAAAAGGTATCACAAATATTTTTGGTTTAGCTAGACCTATTCAGGCCTTCCTCCTTTTCTGATATGGGTCTCTACCAAGACTGAAAATATCTGTCATACTGTACTTGCATCTACAACTTGGTAATGTGAGTAACTCTAAAAGTTAAGCCCATAAAGCTAATGTATGATTTACCTAAGTAGCAGGAAAGAGGAACTTTTTTGGGTTATCCTAGGTTCTGTACACATATGCTGTTATGTATGATAATCTATGTAACTGTATTTGTGTATACCTGAATAAACTTACTTACTTGCCATTTAAATTAAACTAGACCACATGAGTATTTAACTCTCATCTGTCAAGTGCAATCTTTCTTCAAATTTCAGTCTTAATATAACACGTAAAGTACCCATTATCATGCACTAAATCTGGATTTCATGTATCAATGACAGCTAGGCTAATAAACAAATACTATTTTGGAAAATGATTTTTTGAACTAATAGAATATTAATATGTATTCCAAAACACAAAAAGTAAGGTAAATTAGAATTAACATTATGCAATTTGCCTGGTGTCAAGGAAAATAAGTTTCAAGTCTGATGTATTGTAGATCTATTATGGATATAAAAGATACTGCTCAAAAGCAATGAAGACTCAATTATAATAATAATCTACTGTACAACTATGAAATAATTACTATCCTACTGTACAACTATGATATAATCCTTAGTGTTAAGTAGTCTGTAAGCCAATAATGCTAAGTTGGCCCATAATGCTTAGGCATGAGAGGCTCTCTTTGCACTGCAACCCACTATTGTAAATACAAAATCTCAATGTACTGTTTGCAAAGACAAAAAATAAAATAACAGCACTACCATCAAAGAAAAAACTTAACCCCAAAAAAAAACTATGTAATGCCTCTTCAAACTGCATTGAAGGAAAATGTAGAGAAAATAATTAATTCTCTTAACCAAATATGATATCTGTGCACTTCTGGTAACAGTTATGGAATGAATAATAACAAATATTTTCCTTTTTGGGGCTGTTCTATCATACACAAATTAAAAATACTTTGAAACAATTCAGATGAAACATTCCACAAGTACTAATTATGACACAAACCTGGTACTGTACATAATATTTACAGCACTACTCACCAAATTCAGAAATTCTAGATTCATCTCTGTATGCTTGAGGTTCCTGAGTAGATGGTGACAGAGCCTCATAAGCAGCTGTTGTAGATGGAGGCATGGCAGTGGAGTCTGGTGAGACAGAACGTGTTCTCAGCTCTTCAGGAAGTGATGGAGGTTCACCTGCTGGCTCAGCTGGCACTGAGCCCTCCCTGGCAGCAAATACCTCTGTCACTAACTGCTCAGCAAATTTTTGTGCTTTGTGGCGGAATGTCTGAGTCATGTCCTCAAACTGGTGACTTACTACCTCTGAAAATAAAAACCATAAAGTGCATGTAGCAATTAAAAATACATGTAATGGTATATAATTTCACAGTAGACAAATGAAGTATGTACAACTGTAAGAGAAACAACATGTAATCACAAGCAAACATAAAATTACCATAGCATGATTTTTCACATATAATCAAAGTCCAACTATGTATACCTATACAATTATTAAAAAATCTGTCTACAGAAAAACTTACTTTGTGTTGATTTAACGTATCTTCTATCAATGCCTTCTTTGGTATGTGATTCTGTTTCGGTCTCTGTGTCTGTTGTGATGGCTCCCTGAGGATGAACAATGACATCATCCTCTAGATCAAAGGGTTTAAACTCAACCATTGGGAATCTCGGGATAGAGTACTCCTCTAAGGACTCTCTTCTTTCTCTTCTTGGTAGATCTGAAAGCTCTAAAACTGGGCGAGGTGGTCCTTCAAAGTGAGGCGGCTGATCAAACTTGGATGGGGGTGAAGGGTCCCTGCCAGATGATTCACTTCGTTGCTTCCCTATTTCACCAACTGGAGGAGCAACTCGTCGATAAAAATGCTCCTCCCCCTCACTATCAGGAGGAGCCCACTTGGGAGCAATTGGAGTTTCATAGTCACTTTCATAGTCACTACCTCTGAATTCTCCTTTCATAAACTTTTTTGGTTGGGGTGGAGGTGGGCCTCGCTGTCGCTTAGGTCTACCAGGATCCGGTTCATAAGGAAATGGTACCAATTTTGGCAAGGGTTTAGTCTGGCTATGTTCTATTTCACGTCTTTCATGATCTGATTCAGAAACAAAATCATATATATCGGTAATATCAATATCAATCTGAAAGCCCTTTTTAGCTTCTACTTTTTTTCTTTATCATTTTAATATGAACATCATCTTTTTCTTCTGTTTTAGGTGGTGCTTTAACTTGAACATAACCAATTAATGGTTGAGGCCCAGGTTCTGGTAGAGGAGGAGATGGTATCTTGGGTATCTGTGGTTCTGGTTCCTTAGGTTTTAAAACAGGTGCTTTTGGTGTTATCTTGGAAATTTTAGAAATAGGTTGAGCCTTTACTTTTGGTATGATAATTTCAGGCGACGGCTCTTTCACAAACACTACATGTTTATCTACAGGATCAACTGTTGGGCGTAAAGGGCCTCCTGATGCAGGAGGAACCTCAAACTTAGAAGGGGGTGTGGGAGTACGTTCCTTGCTCTTGGAAGAATGCCTTTCTGTTGGTGGGGGTGGTCTAACTGGCGTATACTCTGGGTCTTCCACATCGCTGTCAGGTGGTTTCCACTTGGGACGAACTCTACCCTCATAATCACTATCATAGTCACTCTCCCTAAATTCACCCTTAATAAACTTTTTAGGCTTTGGAGGAGGTGGTCCTCTTTGCCGTTTGGGCTTGTCTTTATCTGGTTCAAATGGGAACGGTTCCAGGTCCTGGAACTTTTCAGTTTCTATAGTTAACTGTTCTGATTTTGCTGGTGGTGGGAACTGGGTTGGGACTTGTTCACTTTCTGTGATAATTGTCTTTTTAGTTTCTTTCTTTTCTTTCTTTATTCGTAGTTCTTCTTCTAGTTTCAAATTTGTAATAGTTTTTTCTGTTCTTTCAGTTATCTTTGTGTACGGCTTAACTTTGTATGTTTGAATCTCTTTCATGGGAGGAGCTATTACTCTTGACTTAAGGTCAACCTTATCAACAACATACTGAGTCTCTTGAACAATTATACCTTCTTCAGGGGTGGGCCCTGGTGAAGGGAGGGGAGGAGACACTGACCTCTCTACATATTCTACTTTTGCAGGTATCTTTACTGTGATTTTCTTTGGAGGTTCAATTTTCTTTGGCAGTTCTTTAGTAATTAAAACTTCAGAGCTTGGCTCCTTCTGAGTAACTGGTTCTGGGGGTTCAATGATTGGTCTCCATGGTCCACCACTTTCAGGTGGACTGTCAAAGACAGTAGGAGGGGTGGGTGTTCGTTCTCTAGTCTTAGAAGGGGTTCTGTCAGATTGAAGGCATGGTTTCACTTTATTATAGCTAATTTCTACATCACTGTCAGAAGGCTGCCATTTTGGCTTGATGTGGCCTTCATAATCACTCTCGTAATCACTTTCAGTAAACTCACCTTTTTGAAACTTTTTAGGCTTGGGTGGTGGGGCACCTCTCTCTCTCTTTGGCCTTTCTGGCTCAGGAGAAAAGGGAAAAGGTTCCAGAACTGGAAGAGGTTTTTGTTTAGGTTCTTCTTTAAACAAAGGTTTTGATCTTGATTCTTGAGCCTCTGTTGTGGTAGTTGATCGGGCATCAGTAAACTTGATAACACGTGTAGTCTGTTGCATGGTTAAAAACCGCTGGTGATGTTTACTAGAATCTGCTAGTTTTGTAATTTTGGTTGACTCAACACCAATAGCATTAGAAAATGATGCCGATTTTGCTGCCTGTGGTGGCACATAATCTTCCACAGGTGGTGATCCAGGCTTTAACACTGGTGATGGGGATCTTTTAGGAGGAGCTACTTTTTTCTGGAGTTGTGATTTAAAAATTTTTGGTTCCTTTGGCACTACTAGTGGTGGTTCTGGATGAATTAAAATTTCAACTTTTTCTGGAATAATTATCTCTGGTGATATTTCCCGTTCATATTCAGTTTCAGACTCTGGAAAATCAACCTTTGGCCTTGGAGGACCTTCAAATTGTGGAGGCTCATCAAAGACTGTTGGAGGGGTTGGTGTTCTGATACGAGGCTGAGAAACTTTTGGTGTTCCAACTGAAACCTTAATTTTTCTATAACCTTGATCTTCAGCATCACTGTCTGACGGTTTCCACTTTGGTGGAATACGACCCTCATAGTCACTTTCATAATCACTCTCGTGGAATTCTCCCTTTACAAACTTGGTTGGCTGAGGTGGTACAGCCCCTCTCGGCTTTTTAGGTTTTTCAGGTTCAACCTTGAATGGAAAAGGTTTTAGATCAAGCTCTTCTTTCTCTTTTACCTGCTGAGTAACAGCCTGTTTTACAAGCCCTGTAGATTTAAGAGGATGAATTTCAGGCACTTTTGTTACTTTTTCATGTTGGGACTTTTTTATTTGTTTTACTTTAAGCTCAGAATCTACCTGAACACTCTCTATCAATTTTCCATCTGTTTTACACTTTTCAACAGGCTTTGTTAGCACACCTGATTTTGTTACCTGCATGTGTGTCACATGCTCTCCTCTTTTAACTGTAGTCTCTGACTTTTTTAAATCTTGAGATTCTGGTCTTTTAATTTCCTTAAACTGCTTAAAAGATTTAGAAACTTCTTTTGATTTCTCAATTTTTGGTTCAATTGTCTTTTTGTCAATTTTCTGCTCTACTTTAACTGCCTGTTTTCTTGATGGTTGTGGAGAAACATCTACACTTGTGCTCTCAAAAACTTCCACTTTCTTATCCGACATGATTTCTACATGTGTTTCACTCTTGAATTCAACCTTCTTTTGGGTCCTGGATGAACCTGTTGAAACATCACTTTCATCCTTCATGGCATAATATGTGTCCTCGGAGAAAGGGCTTGATGTACCGGGCTTTCCCCTTGTCTCTTTCCTATATTCTTCATATTTTTGTTTTGGTTTCTTCTCTGATTGTTGTGGTGGTGGTGGTGCTGCTGCTTTTGTTGTCTTTGGGCCTTCACCCCCTCGCCTTTCTTCATGAATTTCCTCTGACCTGCTAGTAAACATCTGTAAAGAAAGTGACCCAAAACTGAAGTATGGATTTAAGCATCATCCTATTCATGTGACTCTGGCCTTTGGAATTTATGTAAAAAAATCCAAAGTTTAATCATTTAGATTTTCACTCTTTAGTAAAATGAGTAATTGTTATTCACTTGGTCAACACTTGGTCAAGGTCATTAAAACTAATTTAGTAAAAATAGATGTTTTTCAATCCAATTTCCAAGATTAACATTATCTGGGTAAGTTGTCAAGGCCATTCATAAGAAGACTCAACATTCACCTACATAACATAGAAACTGTACTTACAGGAATGAGATCTGCTGATAGCATGGATCACAGTCTAATGAAAACACATCATAAGAGCATAAATGGACAGGATGGGAATAAGGGAAACAACAGATATCCGAAAAAGTACTAAAATATACAAATAAAAATAAAAAATATATGTGCATATTATTTTTAGTGAATTAATTGGTTACCGCCAGGAGAACACAAGACCGACGTGGAGAAAATTCACACAATTTCATTTACAGGGAGTAAAACAAACTTACTTAAAATCTCACGTTTTGCATCAATTGCAGTTTAGCAGGGAAATGACCATAGTTTTTTAACCTGTCCAGAAAGAAAATTGCATTAGAACAGAATAGTGGGGTTTAAGGCGCACAGTATGTCCAATATGCAGGTTCTAAGACATCGTGCAAAAGTGCATGCAAGCCATTATGAACAGGAAAACAGTTAAAGAAACAGAAGGCTACAAAGATTTGACCCTGGGTTAAACATTATTAGTGATATCGACATCTAGCACAGCTATTGACGACTGAAGCTACACTATTGCCAAGAGGCATCAAAAGGCACCGACAGACTGTTGTTTACGAACCTGGGAAGATTTACTTTCAGACGACTTGAATGAACTGGAGAAGTGCGAGGTCTGGCCTACTGAAGAAGCTGGGGTGGAAGGGAAGGAAAAGGAACCTGAAGGAAAACCACCTTCTGGGGGAAAGCCATCACTTGCAGGTATGCCAAAGCCAGAAGCAAATGATGGAGGTTCTACTTTTCCAAACTCAGAGCTTGTGAAGCTTTTACTTTCACTCTTGGAGAATGATGAAGACATAAAACTTTCACTTTTGCTAAATGAAGAACTGAAGTTAGATGAATTCATAGACTGGCTGGTCTTAGTACTACGCCGAGGAAGAGTTCCTTCAGTGTCCGCTGCATAACCACTTTCTTCCAATTCTTGAGCTGTTATCTGGGTATTCTCCATCTTCTTTCTTGACTTTGGTGAAGAAGGCTTTGCTTTTATATTATTTGAACTTGTGACTTTCTCTGTCCCATTGGTTTCACAAGCAACAGGGATATATCTGACAGATGCTTCACTTGGTTGGGAGACTTGGGCAGTACTTGGTGCTGTAGTGGGTATTTGGACTGGTTTAACTCCAGTGGATGACACAAGTGGCTTTATCCCAACAACAGAAGGGACTGGAACATGTGGAGACGTTATGATGCCTTGTGGTACAGGAACTGGACCACTACCCTCAAACATTTTCTTCATGCTTTTTACTCCTCTCTCTTGCTTCTCTGTAATTTGAACATGCTTCTCTGAAGTTACATGCTGAACATTAGTATGAATATTCTTTGCAGAAGTTACTGATGAAACACTTTTTGTCATCTGTGTTCCTGGTGGTTCCTTCACTGTCTTTGATATAGTAACAGTTGCTGGTTTTGATGTTACAGTAGGCACCTTAGAAGCAACAGCAGGAGATGGTTTGGTTGGACTGAGTGGAGTAACCTTAGGTGCTGGAGCTGGAGTTATTATTGGAGCTTTCTTCTGAATAAACCTTTCTTGTTGTTTTACGGGTTTATTTTCAGGAGTTATCTGTGAAGCTAAAGATTTTGCTGAATGAATTATATGTTTACTTTGACTTATTACTGTTCTAGGAACTGGGGTACTCTCCCTTGATGTTGGAATATCAGATTCTACATCTGAGAAACACAAGCTTAATGGCAAAAGTCTGGTTTCAAAAGGTGGTGGAGGACCAAATGTTGATGGTGGAGGTGGGGAAGGTTGCTTTGGCTTCTTTGTTCTCCCTTTTTTCATTTTAATATTCATTGGTCTATAGCCCACTGCTTCACTGTCACTCATGTACAGTCTGCTATAAGATCCTGATTTTGAATCATAATCACTTTCATACTCACTCTCAGTAAATGAACCAGGATAAAACTTTTTAGGCATAGATGGTGCCTTTCCTCTAGGCTTTTTCTCTTTCTCAAGTTCTACTGAAAATGGGAATGGTTCTAGTGGAGGAAGCTGTATAAGTGGAGACACAACAGAAATCTCCCTAGAAGGAGCAGATGACTTTACAAAGACTTCCTTCTTTGGCTGAATATTTGGTTTCTTAAAAGATGGAACTGAACTCTGCACAGATACTGGTGTTGGTTTCCTCTGCTGTACTGTCATATCAGTCTTAATCTGTTTTGTAGATGTTTGTGACATCTTTTTCATCTGTCTAGAAGTCATGGAACTTGATTCTTGAACTGTAGTAGAAGTGACTGTTTCCACTTGAGGAACTACCTGAAGCCCTAACATTCTTTTCTCTTGAAGTGTGACATTACTTGACCAATATATTGCAGGTGGAGCTTCATGAGGCCTTGCAGGAAGAGTTGCAGACTCTGTTACACGAGGTCGTTCTGCAGATTGAGAGCGTGTCTTCAATGTGGGAATGGCATTTGGTGTTTCATCATGAGAACTAGGTGGCCAAGCACCTACTTTTTTGCTAATCCACAGGGGTCTTGATACTGACTGAGATGGAGGCTCAGGCTTCTGTAGAGGTATGATTGTTGGCTCAGTTACAGGTTTGACTGTGGGTTTAGTTACAGGTTTGACTGTGGGTTCAGTTACAGGTTTGACTTTGGGTTTAGTTACAGGTTTAACCATGGGTTTAGTCATAGTTTGAACAGTAGGTTTGCTTACTGTTTTTTTGTCTTGTGTAACTACTGATTCATGTGCAGTTTTTGTTACAATAGTTGTTTTTGCTTCTGACTTGACAGATTTTGAAACTGCTGATAATTCTGGAGGAGTCATGTCAAATGGTGGTGGGGGTGCAGGAGATGACTTTATTTTTGTAGTTTTCGATGTAGGAGCTCTCACTGATCTGAATCCAGGTGCAGGAACAACCTCAACCAAAGGTTCTGGAGCTGACACAGTTGCTGGTTTAGGCTGAGCAGCATATTCTTGTACAGGTTCTGGTTGAAGAATATATTCTGGCACAGGTTCTGGTTGAACAATAAACTCTGGTGCAGGTTCTGGTTGAACAATATACTCTGGTGCAGGTTCTGGTTGAAGAATATATTCTGGTGTAGGTTCTGGTTGAACATACACTGGTGCAGGTTCTGGACGAACATACACTGGTGCAGGTTCTGGATGAACATACACTGGTGCAGGTTCTAGTTGAACACTATACTCTGGTGCAGGTTCTGGCTGAATATACTCTGGTGCAGGTTCTGGTTGAACATACACAGGTGCAGGTTCTGGCTGAATATACTCTGGTGCAGGTTCAGGCTGAATATACTGTGGTGTAGGTTCTGGCTGAATATACTCTGGTGCAGGTTCTGGCTGAAGTATGTATTCAGGTATGGATTCTGCTTGATGGGCAGGCTCAGGAGCACATTCTGGGACAACAGCAGAGACAGGAATAGAAGTGTGGTGTGAATAGTTCACCACTTTAGACTCTTTTGTTTCATAACTCACAGAAGATTTATGTGTTTTAGTTTCAGAGAATGAGGACACTGAAGATGTCTGCTGCTGTGTAACAAAACTTCTATCCATTTTTAATGATTTAGTTAATTGAGAATCTGGTTGTGGGGGCCAAGATTTAACTAACTTTCCTGGTGATTTTACTCCTGCAAATTCAATATCAATCTGCTCTGGCACTATTGGTGAGGGTTTCCCGACATGTTTTTCCTCAACAATAAGTTGCGGCAGTTTCTCTATAGTTTCTACTGCTTTTGGGGGCTTCGTATCCTTCTTGGTCAGTTTCTTTGGAACTGGCTTTGCTATCTCTTGCTCTGTGCTCTTACCTGCAGTAGCCAAAAACTTTTCAACGATTTTTGTCTTTTTCTTTGGTGTAATAGATTTTGGTTCTTTTTTAACTACTTCCTCCTTTTTCAAGATTTCAGGTCTCATTCCACCTTCAAAAACTGGAGGAGTGTCAAAGGCTGATGGAGGAAGTATTTCTTGTCCGGCTCCAGCTGAAGCTGGACGTGGTGTTGGTTCCTGAACTTCAAATTTAATTTTCTTAAGCTGGATTCTGTGTTCAGTTTCCATATCACTCTCATATTCACTATCTGTGAAGGATCCAGGAATAAACTTCCGTGGCATGGGAGGAGGCAAACTGCGTGGTCGTTCTTTTCTTGGCCTTTCTTCCACAGTAAATGGAAAAGGTTCAAGCTCCGGAAATTTTTCTCCTTTTAAGTCTGCAAACATTTTATCTTCTGCAGATAGAGTTTCTCGAGTTGGAGTAGGTACATCACGAACAGGAGTAGAAGGTTGCTTTGGACTCGGAAACATACGAACACCACCAGGTACCTCGTCTGGAGACATTGGAATAGATTCTTCTAATCTTTTTGCAAGCTGAATAACAGATTCGCGTTTCTTTTTTGGTTTCCTTTGTTCTTTTACTTCATCACGCTCTGGACGTTTTGGGGGCTTAATGGATTCTTCAATGTTTTCCTGCTCAGGATGGTGGTAGTCAGGCATTATAAGTGGCTGAAGAGGTTGACGTTCTGGTTTTTGGGACTCTAGTGTAGTTGGCTCCACTGTTTCTTGTGGAGGTAATGGGGAAAACACTTTTGTTTGTACATTTGATGATGAGACAAACATTGTTTGCATTTCTCTCCCTACTGATGATGATATTAAAGATGCTGACACATCTGAAGGAAATTTCTCATGTTTCATATCACTAATGTAACCTACTTCAGGTCTAGATGAAAATGCCTGTTCAGATATACTTGATTCAGGTTCTGGACTTGGTTCTCTGGGCACTGGTTCAGGAGTTGGTATGAATTCAATTACTTGCTCACTTTCTGGGACAAAGTACTCCAATAAGTCATCTTCTGAAGGCAATTTTTTATCCACTACCACTGCATCAGGTGCTTGCACTGGCAAAGATTCAACAGCCGATTCAGAAATAATAAGGTCCTGTGCACCACTGATCTCAAATGATGGTTCAAGAGGACTGGGATGCAAAATAACATCTTGTGCATTTACAACCTGCTCAACAGGAGGACTTGACAGTCCGGTTGTATAAACCTTGGTCTCCACTGTTGAATAACTAGTTTTAGATAAGGATTTTTTGGATTCATAAAAACTTGTTTCAACTGAACTAGTTTCCATTTTCACCTCTTTTTCTATTTTGGGTTCTTGATAAGATTCTTTCGTGATCTGTTCTACTACTGTAACAGTGGAAGGAACTTTGGGTGGCTCTGGAGTTGGAACTCTAAGAGGCTCTGGGGTTGGAACTTTAGGTGGCTCTGGGGTTGGAACTTTGGGTGGCTCTGGTGTTGGAGCTTTGGGTGGCTCTGGGGTTGGAACTTTGGGTGGCTCTGGTGTTGAAACTTTGGGTGGCTCTGGTGTTGGAACTTTGGGTGGCTCTGGAGTTGGAACTCTAGGAGGCTCAGGGGTTGGAACTTTGGGTGGCTCTGGGGTTGGAACTCTGGGTGGTTCTGGGGTTGGAACTTTAGGTGGTTCTGGAGTTGGAACTTTGGGTGGTTCTGGAGTTGGAACTCTGGGTGGCTCTGGGGTTGGAACTTTGGGTGGTTCTGGACTTGGCAATCTGGGTGGTTCTGGAGTTGGAATTCTGGGTGGTTCTGGGGTTGGAATTCTGGGTGGCTCTGGGGTTGAAACTCTTGGTGGCTCTGGGGTTGGAACTTTTGGTGGCTCTGGGGTTGGAACTCTTGGTGGCTCTGGAGTTGGAACTCTTGGTGGCTCTGGGGTTGGAACTCTGGGTGGCTCTGGGGTTGGAACTTTGGGTGGCTCTGGGGATGGAACTCTTGGTGGCTCTGGAGTTGCAGCCTTAAACTGTTCCTGAGCTATAGCTTTACATGGTTCTGGAGTTGGAACAGGTTCAGGTACAACCTCAGGAACAGGAGATAGAATCTTGTATGTTTCTACAATGGGAGCAGATACTCTCTTGTACTCTTGTCTCAGCTGAGAACCAGACTCGAAGTGTTCAGCTACCATCACATCTTTTATCTTGTGTGATTTATATGTTTGTAAAGATTCAATGTGCGGTTCAGGTACATGTACTGGCTCAGGTAACTGTGCAACAAGATATTCCGGCTCTGGTTCAGGAACCAGCATGGGCTCTGATGGTGGCATGTAATATGCATCTGGCTGGCTTGTGGGGATAATTTTGTGCTGCAAATCTGGCTCTGGTTCAGTCACCAGCATTGGATCCAACAGTGGAGTGTAACCCTCATCTGGTTGACTTGCTGGGGTAATTTCCTGTTGCAACTCAGGCTCTGGTTCTTCTATCACCATAGGTTCTGAGGGAGGTATAAAGCCATACTCAGGAGCTGGTTCTGGCTCAAGCTCAATATTCAGCTCATCTGGAAGCTTTGGCTGTGGTTTAGGCTTTGAAGGTTGCTTTGGAACAGCTGTGTGGCTTATATATGATGACTGCATTTCACTGGTGGCTGAAAATGATGAAATAATAGAAGACACATTAT